ACAGAGACACCTTCATCTTCTTTTTTGCCAAGAAAAACTACATTGTTACATTAGATGAGTTAGCTGAGATCATCAACACCGAGTTTAATGTTTTCAAAAAGACTCCTGTTGAGCCAGACACTGCATACAGCTTCATTTCGAAACTCTTGATTTTACTCGAGACTCTAGAGAAATTGTTCCCTTGTACCTATTGCCCCTCAAAGCAAACTTCATTCAGAAAATCTTGACCCTCTGCCTGCACCCAAAATTGTCCTCAACCAACGATGTATGTCATTATGAAGCACGGGTCATTTGGGCCATTCTCACCAAATATGAAGATTTTTCCCTGGCACACATGATTTTCATCCACATGTACCGCACTGCCAAGTGCAAGACAGGCAAGCTACCCTATGGTGCCCTCATCACTCGCATCTTCAAGTACAAGCACATCGACTTCTATGATGTTGCCCATCGTAGCATGCCTCATGTGGAGATCGGGAAAAAGACTTTGGACAAAATGATGCTGAGAATGACACCTGAAGGATAGGTCAATCAGAAGAATGAAGTTGTTCTCGTAAGACAAGGAGATGATGAAAGAGCAAAGAAGGTTCTTCAAGAAAAGTTAGCAGCACAGGCTGCATCATCTAGCAAAGGGAAAGGCAAGGCACATATATAGAGGCAGTCTGCTCGTCCACCCAGACCAGAGAGGTCCCCCTCTCCAGTCGAACCTTCGCTTACTCCTGCTGTTACAATCTCGAGGCTTCACGCTGATGTTCAGGAAATCAACAGCTCCATCATTTCTCTCACCAATTACTTGGTGAAAATCGAATGAACGTTGCTTGGCTTAGATTGCTATAACCTTGCCCGACCTGACCCTAAGGAACCAGCCGCTCAACCCTCCACCACTCAGCAAAGAAAACGCCCTCGCACATAACTTCTATTATTAGCTCATGTTTTTCTTTGCTTGTGTTTGATGTTAGCTCTGTTATACCTATCTACTTATGTATGACTTCCTTGTCAATGAAAGTACTCTCTTTCTCATATGATATCTATTGCTATTTGCACTGTCTTTTTGCTGATAACAAAAAGGGGGAGAGAGCCTAGATGTGAAAGATGGCGAAATACTAAATCGCATCGAAACAGGGGGGGCAACATCAAAACAAGATAAATAAAGGAACTGCGTAGATAGACTCTAATCTCTTGCAATCTATTTCTAATGATATTCACTCACTTCAATCTAGAAGATCTGCTTCTTAAACTGGTATATTATTAAAAGGTCGTCTAGATTTCGTCTCTAATATTTCTTGCAAACACTTTTTAAGAGACATTCTGCAAAGTATATTCTCTATGAAAAATCTTCACTCTGTAGATTTTCATTAACAACACGTTCAATTCAATATATTTGTTTCACATCTTTAGGATGGTTTTGTTATCATCAAAAAGGGGGAGATTGTTGGAGAAACTTCTTCAAATGAATTTTGATGATACCCAAACTATCTTTAATATAATATCTACATTGTCTAAGTGTAGATATATTCAAAGGACTGAGTGATACTCATAATGATATTCATTGAAGAAAGGATCACAAGACTGTCCTTGAATGATCAATTAAACAACACCATCGATCTCAAAGATCAGCCAAATGACGATGTCGTGCTCAAGCTGAAGAGATCTAGTAAATGGTATTGTTTAGGTAACGGTTCATTTAATATGACCGTTATGTCACTATTATAGCCGTTGGGACTAGATAGGCACAACAAAAGACCTGGCAAAAAGGAGATCAGTCAGTCTAATAGGTAGTCAGAATCGCATCTACAGCATAATCGTAGAAGCTATTTCAGGAAGGTCTGCAGAAGTTCAGGAATAGGCTATATAGGCAGTCAGTTCCAAGGACAGCAGCTCCAATGACTCTAACGGCTATTTTATCTCTCCAGGACATCAGCAACGACTAGTTTGAAGATGCCTATAAAAGAGAAGGTCCTTGAAGCCAACAAGTTAGAGAAAGAGAAAAGTGTGCTTACAATATTTTCGAAATATCTTACTTGCTATGTACTGAGGTAAAAGCTCCTACTTATCGATAGCACTTGCTAGATTGTAATTGTGTTAAAATTTCAAGTGTACCAAGTGATAGCAGCATCCACCTCCTGGTAGTGTGATCTACAAACTGATAGGAGTGGTGATTGTTGAGTGTAACTTGATCAGTAAATTACTAGTGCAATCCAGCACGACTTGTGGCTGTTAGTGGTGAGAGTGGACTTAGGCTTGGAATCAAAGCCGAACCACTATATATCCTTGTGTGCAGCTGCTTATTCTTCTGTTTATCATTTCTAGCATACAAGTGATACATTGCCTCTCATACAGCTGGTGTATTGTGATATCTCTTTGTTACACACTGCTCTCCGCGAAAGTTGTAAAATCTTCCAAAGCAACCTATTCACCCCCCTTTAGGTTGCATAGTTAGTCCCAACAGCTTCAATTATCGATGAGGTCTATTGATAGTAGGCTTATTGATGAGAGTTTCGTCGAGCTTAAATGAGTGCTAACCTTCTCGGTTGATTCAGTTGGTCTTGAATATGGACCGCACCATACGAAGACTTGAAGGGAGATGTCGTGGCGCAAGTGAAGAAGGTGGCAGAGTTTATGGGGCTTCCATCTTTTAATTGGGGAAGAGAAGCAAGGTGTGATTCAAGAAATAGCTGAAACATGTAGCATGAGGAAGTTGAAGGATCTGGAGGTGAACAAATTTGGCAAATTCATGCCCAACTTTGAGAACATAAGCTACTTTGAGAAAGGAGAGGTGGGTGACTGGGTTAACAATCTCAGTCCTCCCATGGTAGCATGTCTACATAGCATCATGGAAGAGAAGATGAGTATGTTTGGCTTAAAGTTCAAAACATGCTACTCCTCCTTCCCATATTAATTGTCTAGTTAGTTTTTGGTACTAAAAAAAATTATAGTACGTTTCTTATGATTTGAACTCGATCTTTCTTTGTCTTGGATCTCCTCACAAATACTATACTGTGTGGAAAAGATTCAATGAGCAATTGCGCTGAGATACCTCGATTTTTCTGTTGCTGAAAGAGTAAACAAGTATCAAAATGAGATGAGGACTAGATATAAGGAAAGCATCCTGTGTCTTTCTCTCTTGCACTAAACCCTAAAAGATCAGTTTACTCCAACATCTACGTTACAAGGGATGAGTTACTCTGGTGCGTGATAACCTAGAAACTCCAGAATTGGGAGATTTGTGACCTGAAAGCACCCGAAAAATAGAAATAATAATTGTGATCCAACTTATCTGTCCCATTGACCAAAAAAAACAACTTATCTGTCCCCTATTTGAAACTTTTCCCTCAGACATTACATGCATTTATCTAGAACATGGATAACCAAAAAAAAAAAATCTGAAAGGTTTATTGGTTAAGGTTAATACCACGAAAAATCCCAAACTGGTACACTTATGACAAATTTACCCCAAACTATTTTTTTGACTACCAAAAACCCCAAACTGGTACACCTGTGGTAATTTTACCCCAAACTAATTTTTTGACTACCAAAAACCCCAAACTAGTACATTTGTGGGGAATTTACCCCCTGTTAAATTGGATTAATACAATGAACAATCACAAACCGGTACACCTATGACAAACGGAGGGTAAAACCCCAAGCTTGTACACCCGTTAACTATCACATGTCATCCAACTCAAAAATTTAATGGTAAAATTTAACGAAAACTAATAATGGGTAAAATTATCACAGGTATATCAGTTTGGAGTTTTTGGTGGTCAAAAAATTAGTTTAGGGTAAATTTATCATAGGTATACCAGTTTAGGATATTTCATGGTATTAACCCTATTGGTTATGATGGTAGCCTATATCCAATAGTGTAAACCACTACATATTTACATTTGATATACGCATTCGATAACACAATCTCTTTTCCCGTTCATTCAATGGCACATGTAAAACAATATGAATATCATCCATATAGATATCAAACATTTTCACTATTGCTTTAACAAAAAGATCCAACAAACAATAACAAGCACCGGCAGTGACAAAACCAATCAAGCCTACTCCAATTTACCGGAAACTTTATATGGCAAACCCTGTCCTGTGTCCACAACCCTTGAGCTACAGAGTTCTAGATATTAAAGTTGCATTTGGCCGTTCAAATTTGGATTGGGATATGATCGGATGAGGTGGGTTAATAAATCCTCCAAATATCCTTTGAATCGTAGAAAATCCCATCACATGTCTGGTGTAATTCAAGATAGAATTTAAAATCTTTGAAAGTCTCACTTGTCTATAGCAATCTAACGCAATATCCAGATCTCACCGCTGAGATCTCCCTCACTAGCATCTCGAACCCGCTCTTTTCAACTCCCTCCCGTTCGTCTCCTTCATCGCCAGTTACACCAGATCCATTGCCATCTCCACCTCTAGACTATAGTCCCCGCCTAGCTTCACCGTATCAAAAGCGATTCAAACACCGGCAAAGATGACCCTCTGGTCGCTGAGCGACCAGGGGATAGCGACCACGAGGATCTGACAGAGAAGGCAACAATGGCTAATATAAGGGTGGCAATAAGGTGGTGGATGCCACACGTGAAGCTCAGGTGCCACTTGATGTCAAAGCCAACGATCTAGGGTAACGATGGGCAAAGAAGAGGTGGACGAAGATCCATTAGTGGACGGCACTAGGGTAGTGAGTAATGAGGGCGGACACGCCTCTGTTGTGGATGACGATCTGGAAGGATATACACTACAAAAAAACAAGGATTTAGCCACGGAAAATTAGCGACGAAAAATTTTTCGTCGCTAATTTCCGACGGAATTTGCGACGAAAAATAAACTGTGGTGTGTGCCACTAGAAAATGTGATGGCTCTAGGAAGGCCACTAGAAAATGTGATGGCTCTTCCAACTGTGGTGTGTGCATCATTATTTCGTCCTTGACTAGAAATGGCTAGGAGAGGAAAGCTGTCAGTTTTTTATGCTGCTTTTTGAACCGACTATTTAAGAGATCAACGTGTTGAGATCTTACTCTTGGTTGCTCATGCTTGTAACATCTTAGTTTCGCAAGTAAATATCCATTTTACAGCTTAAATAACATCTTGTTTGTTTCCAGCAAGGAGGTTACATAGTCTGTTTAATGGTTTTTAGTAATATCTAAGCAGTTTGATCTCCATTTTCTTATTCGTGCACGCAGAAATCTTGGAAATGTATTCTTCATTTACGATATTAACTTGTGCAAACTTCTGCAGAGATGAATTGGGTCGTTTTGTTGCTGACAAACGATGCCTAACGTGTCTTAAAATGGAAGGTTGCTCTAACCTTGGGGGTTTGGTTCTCAGCTCATCGAGTCTTTCTACACTCTGGCTTTCTGATCTAAACTCCCTCTCAAGGATGGTGATTGCATCCCTTTGCTTTTTTATGTACTAGGATCTCTCCTCTGTATCTTGCATGTTTATTCCTGTCTTTGATAGTTGTAACAAATGATGCTGACTCATTTTCACATCCCTACAGGTATTTAACTGCCCCAACTTAAGAGAAATCTCCTTGGAATTCTCTCGCAATGGAAATGATTGTACAGATTTGATTGCCACAGTTCATGGTCTGGGAAGGAGTTGTCCAATTTTACAAATAATTCACATTGCATCGGTTCGGCTTTCTCATGCGGTTGTACTAGCTCTTACAGCTTCAAATTTAAGGTGTGTTCTGTAACTTGGTCATGCATGTTGCATATGATAACAGCTTCAAACAAGCATTTATTTCCTTTAAGCTCTAGAGCTTTGTAAGTCCTTGTTCCACACATTTTGCTGTCTAGTGATCATATAGATCCTAAGTTCACTTCCTAGATACTAAAGACCGAAATTTTCCATGAGAGCATTGAAGCATCATTAATTAGATACAGCTTTGATGACCACTGCTAAATTTTTTCATTGTACAGGGGTTTGCGGATGCTATCACTGGTGCTTGGATCAGAAATCACTGATGCATCTGTTGCTGCTATAGCTTCAAGCTTTTCGAATTTAGAATTGCTTGATCTCAGTGGGTATGTTCTGCTGTGAGGTCCTATGTTGTTTGATTTATGAGATATCACAGTGGTATAGAAAATTGAGCTTCATCATGTCAATTCATGGTTTTTTTTTCTTTTGCAAAAGTTCCCGTACATGATATAAGCACATTTGGTTTCAAATAGTGTGACAAATAAGGCGCATTGGTAATGACCATAGAAGCTTAGAGCATGAAGGAATATAATTTAATCATCAGCCCCAACAATTGCACTTCTTTTTTAACCATGAATTTGTTGTTACGTGCAGGTCAAGCATTAGTGACAGTGGCATCAGGATGATATGCAATGTGTTTCCTGAAACATTATCAAGACTCCTACTTGCCCTTTGTCCTAACATCTCTTCAAGCAACTTCCTGGACTACTCTGTAAATAAATGGCATTTCCTTTCAGTTAGCACTATAGGTTCATTGTTTGTCATGCTGAACGTGAATCTATTCAAATCATTTCTTGCATTTTATTTTGGTTCACTAACAGTTTATATATCTCAGGTGGAATTCAGTTTGCCACAGCTCAGCTGCCTCTTCTTGAACTCGTGGACTGTGGTATGACTGTATGTGATAGTAACGACGAAAGCCTCATCTCTGATGAAACCATCAAACATGGGATGGAGAAAGGGCCCAACAGCAATCTTCACCTCATACACCAGAAGCTTATTATAAAGCACAGCAAATTAAAAAAACTCAGCTTGTGGGGTTGTAGTGGCTTAGATGTGAGACTCCGAGATCCTATAATTTGTATATTGCATTCTATTACCATGGGTTCCTTGTGGTTCTTATTTTGTTGATTGAAATGCAGGCCCTGTATTTGAACTGCCCAGAGTTGAATGACTTGAATCTCAATGCCTGTAAAAATTTGCTCCCTGGTACGTTTTAAAAAATGTATTGGTCTTGATTGAGTGCTTACTTTAATTAATGGGATATTGATGCATCTCACATGCTTTCCTAATTTGCATCCTAATCTAACTTTAATTTTCTTTGCATTCTCAGATCGATTGCTAATTTAGTGCCCCAGTTTAGAGAATGTATATGCGTCAGGTTGTCAAGAATTGTTAATAGAGGTTACTCAAAATCAGGTACGATTTGAATTTAATCAGAATATAGCATTAACATCAATTTGTGCTGCTTGTCAATATGCTTCTATAACCTATATGAGCTTGTTGATTACATCATCAAGCACTTTAAAACTTGAATTTGCGGAACAAACCTACCTCATAGACAATGTAACCTTGCTGGAAACTTGATGTGATATTCTACTGACGTGAAAGTCTATATGTCGCACTTTCTTGTTGAGACCCTTGTCTTGAGAATCCTATATGTGAGAAGTTATACCTTGCTCTATCCCCCACTTTTCTTTGTCCTTCTTACAGTAACTTAAGATTTATTTATATATTAAATAAATTTTTTGATCTCAAAGATTCAATGGTTTGAGGAAAGCATTAACATTTGTATTGCATCTACTTGTAGGTCAACAATGATTCTTTTCCCGTGGAAAACCATTTGCCCTTTAAATGTCTGGCTGATGGTTCCAAGAGAGTTCAGGTTCCCCATTTTCTGTGCCAACAGGTGAAGTTCCTCACCTACATATCTTCTAGTGGTTGTAACCTAAATGTCAATGCCGTTTCTTGAAACATTGTATTTGCATTCTGTTACTGGTGATGAAATAGAATAGGGAATCATATCATAACATTGCCTCACATGTTAACCATCTTTACTCTTCTCTTTTTTCCAAGCAGCAATTTGATGTTGATAAGAAGCAGAGAAGGAGGCGGCCGTGTAATGTGCTTGCAGAATGATTATCATGTGGATAGTTTTGACAATTGACATGGTGATAGCTTCACTTGTTTGATGTCATATTACTACTGAGGCAAGGCCCTCTAGACTGACTTCTTGCGGGTTCCTGACATTATTGCCGGTTGCTGATGCCTTGTAGAATTCTTTAAGGCAATGTGTGGACCCCTGGTCACTATACTAGAAAACACTTTGGAGCTTAGCTTCAGCAGCATAACTTCACCATTCTAAAATAAAGTTATCAACCTATGTAATTTTTGTGCAAATTGTCTTCGTATCAAGAGTTTCATGGAAAGATTGTAATTTACTGAGAATTTATATTAGAGCATGAACTGTTGCTGCTAATATTCATGTACTTGATATCAGAGGTTAGAAGGAACTCTGCAAGGCTGAGTTTGTGGTAGATATACCAGGTTTCAGCCATGGATTAGATACAGTTTGCACTGTGCCAGTTGTGATTACGACGCACGTGGTTATCTTGACTAGTAGGAGGCCAACCTGTAATAAACTTTCGCCGCACATTCGCAACTATTTTTATAGTTCGTTGCTAAATTAGTGACGAATTCAAATTCATTGCTAATTCCGTCGCAAATTAGCGACGAATTTGAATTAGTCACTAATTAGTGACGAAATCAGCGACGAACTATAAAAATAGTTGCGAATGTGTGGCGAAAGTTTATTTTTATCGCTAAATTCGTTGCAAATTAGCGATGAACTATAAAATTCGCGGCATGTTCCCGACTATTTTATTTTCATCGCTAATTTCGTCGCTAATTAGCGACGGATTCAAATTGGTCACTAATTTGCAACGAATTAATAAAAATTTGTCGCTAAATTCATTCCAGAACAATGTTCGTGGCAAAAGTAAAATTTTTTCGTGGCAAATTAGCGACGAATTTTGCCACGAATAAGTTCGTCGCAAATTACTGACCGAAAAAAAAATTTCGTGGCAAATTAGTGACGAATTTTACTACAAAAAAGAATTTTGCCACAAAAAATTAACGACGAAAAAAAATTGATTGCTAATTCCATCGCAAATTAAGGACGAATTTGAATCCATCGCTAATTAGCGACGAACAATAAAAATAGTTACGAATGTGTGGCGAAAGTTTATTTTCGTTGCTAAATTCGTCGCAAATTAGCGACGGAATTAGCGATGAACTATAAAATTCGCGGCACGTTCCCGACTATTTTATTTTCGTCACTAATTAGCGACTGATTCAAATTCGTCGCTAATTCCAGAGGCGTTTTATGTTCAGTCATAGAATGATTTATATGGGAAAGCTAAATATTTTAGGCTATGTGGGCAATTTTATAATTTATGCCATGTAGGGTTTCACTATATATATTTAGGGCGAAACGGGTCTAGAGGCAGAAGGTGAGAAAGAGTGGCTGTACACTTTTGTACGTGTAGGTAGGCGGAACATCTCCCTTGCTGAATCACGTAAATTCTTGTGTTGTGCGAATTTCCATTACTTTTTTGCATCGTTGATAGGATCGAATTTAGATATTCGACAACTAAGTCACTGAATTGCATTACCGTAGTTTTAACTAAGAATCAACAAACAAGTGGAAGTTCAATTTAATGAGCACAAACTCCAGCATTCTCCTAACCTCCAACAGGAAATCAAATGAACCTTAAAGCTTGAGCAAATGTGTCCATCATACAGGTCTAGAATCTGTTCAAGCGCTCCCTAAAGAACAGGCAACAGTGGAGTTTTCCCGTCTATCTTACTGATTTGCTAACTAAGGCAAACAATCGGAGAATATAGGAGTGAAAATATCATTTCGACACCTTGTGGCTATTACTCGATGGGCCCCCAAATATGAGTAGCTCACTCAGCTCTAACGTATGGGTATGGCTGCTTTTGATATGGACCCACCCGTGGAACGTGCCAGCGTTTTATGCATGTCTAAGATTTGCTTGGGGTCTGCGACAAGGCAATCAATGCACCAACTGTGTAGTCCTGTTACAAAGTAATGAAAGTTTAATGCCGACTAGCTGTCCAATTGTCCTGGCCAAGCCACTGGTTAGCTTTCTGACATATGATGTATAAAATGCGGACCCGGAGAAGTTCCAACGACATCCAGATGCACAAAAAATTCATCTGAGTTGTCGCAATCAAGGACAATACCCTTTCCAATCGACAGTGGTACGTTTGTGATTTGATTTTGTGGCCTAAAATCTCCTTTGCAAAGAGCAAGGAAAAAAGAGAATCGAAGAAAAAAATATCATAGCTGTCAAAGATATAAAATTTCAAGCAAGATGCAGATTTATCAGTTGAGTTGATGCTAAAATCACTCATTCGCCAAAGATTGTATTAAATAATTTTCCAAGGGTCAATATCAAAGAAAAATCTGTGTCTACCGATCACGAGAATAATGGCAGCTCCATAAAAGCTGAAGTGATAGTCCTCAAAACACAACTGAAACATGCAAAACAAGATGCGACAAAGCTCAACAAAGAAAATTCTCGATTGAAGATAAGGTTTTGTCGTGGGTGTTTATTGTTAGTGTGATTTTAGCTCACATTTGTGGAAAGCTGAAGGGGAAAGATGTGCTGAGTTTTCCATAGACTGTGTTGGTCGAAATTGCTTGTGTAAAGGCATGTATGAGTTGTAATACATGTTTTGTGCCCGTTTTGTAATCGTGGACATGCTTGGCAGAAATGAAATTCCATGAGAACAATGCAATGATCGGATTTTGCACGAATTATTTCCATGCAGACATTTTTACATTTGCAATGGTCAACTTTTGCACATATCACTTCCTTGCATACTTTTTTCTTCATAGGAGATTTGCTTGCCTATGGACTTCTATTTTTGTGCCCATAGTCTCAGAAGCAAATCGATTATTTACTTAGCATGTTACTGATAAATAGTCGTTGCTACTTGTCAAACGACACAAATGTCAATAGTCTATGGATATAGTGGTTTTTATAAGTTACAAACAACCATCAAATGGCAACATTAGTAGAGTATTGTGCAACTAGTAATCTATTAGCAGAAATACATGCCCACTTGTAAAAAAGAATAATTATCGTAATCTACAAGGGTATTTCAACTTGGTAAATGAACTAATTCCTTAGTATGTTATAGATACACGTTACTCATCAAATCTTGAAACAATGATAATAATCTACTAGGAATTTACCGTGTGAAAATAATTATTTAGATCGTTATTTATAACCGTTAACCAGTATTATCAGTAAAGTAGGTAAGCAATTCGTGATCTTGAAGCCAAAAAAAAGTCTACTAGGAAAATTTAAAAACAATTGGTAATCTAATAATGGATTTAAGTTAAAATTATTATTTCTTTGTTATCTTACAAACAATTGACTGGACCAATAAGTTATCAATAATTTTTTACCTTAAACAATATTTCAAATTCACTATCGGTTATTGAAATTTACCATGCGCCGAACAAATCTGTTCTGTGGCGCACACAATGTTAGAAATGTCCATTACAATGTTAATCATGAGTTTGGTGCCCTCTTTGACGTCACCTAAGCCGACACAAGTGTTTTAACTCGTATCGTGCAATAAATGAGCCGGGATTTACTAGGGGCCTGTGGTCATTCTTCGCCTATATAAAGCAGTGACGAAGAATAGTGCTTCACATTCATCGGCTTGTTTCGATTCTTACTCAAACATCAATGGCATGCCAGCAACTTTCTTCACATTCCGCCATAGTAGGTAGTGAAGAACATGACCAGGAGGCCATTGACGAACTAATTGCTTCACTTCCCCAAACGAAAGGCGTGGTTGGTCCTTTCCTGTCCCTCTACCAAAACTTTTGGTGCCCGACCTCCAGGATTGCCAACGTGATCGCGTTCCAGCGGCACTTCCAAGCCAAACACAAGGACATTGTCCTGGCCTCTCAGCCCAAAGCAGGGACCACCTGGCTAAAGGCCCTGGTGTTCTCTGTTGTTAACCGCTCCCGCTTTGACATCTCCAACACACCCTTGCTCACTTTGAACCCCCATGAACTCGTCCCTCACGTTGAGTCCCAGCAGTACAGAAACAACCCAAGGCCTGACCTTGATAGCTTGGCAGAGCCGAGGCTCTTTGCGACGCACATCCCTTACCCATCCTTGCCGGAGTGCATCAAGCGGTCGGACTGCCGGATTATTTACATCTGTCGGAACCCATTGGACACCATGGTTTCATCTTGGCATTTCTTCCTTGCGATAGCGCGATTGGAGGGCCAACCGGAGTGGTCCTTGGAAGAGCATTTCGAGACCTATTGCCAAGGGAAAATATGGTACGGACCCTTTTGGGAACAAATCATGGGCTATTGGAAGGAGAGCTTGGAGAGGCCACACAAGGTATTGTTCCTCAAGTATGAGGACTTGAAGGAAGATATTGTAGGGCAGCTGAAAAAGGTGGCTGAGTTTGTGGGGCTTCCCTTCACTGAGGAGGAAGAGGAGGGAGGTGTGATTGAAGAGATAACCAAAATGTGCAGCTTCAAGACCCTCAAGGACCTAGAGGCCAACCAATCCAACAAAGTACTGGTTATAAATACAAAGGTTGAGAAGAGAAGCTTTTTTAGGAAAGGCGAGGTAGGTGATTGGGTTAACCATCTCACTCCTTCCATGGTGGATCGCCTCAATAGCATCATGCTAGAGAAGATGAGCCCCTTTGGGTTCGAGTTCAAAACATGTTGAGTGTTAATTACTTTCCTTTCCGTATGTGTGTCATTAGAAATAAACGAAATTAATAATGGATGGATCTTCAATCCTCCTGATTGGTGTAGTATAGAGAACTGCTGAGAAGAGAAGTTTATTAAGAAAGGCGAGGTCCATGATTGGGTTAACCATCTTACTCCTTCTATAGTGGATCACCTCAATAGCATCATGCAAGAGAAGATGAGCCCTTTTGGGTTGGAGTTCAACACATGTTGAACATGTTGGTTGCTTTCAGCCCCTTCTTTCTCTATGGATAAGTAGAAATAATTGAAAGCTAAATCGAATGGTTTTCGCAATCAGCTTCTCATGTCGGGCTTCTCTTCATTATTTGGTTAATATAGAGAAAGAAAAAGAATCATTCCCAGTTGATCTAAAGAAACCCCGACTTTCTATGGGCTAAAGATCAGACAAGAATCGGATGCTGATCAAATGCATTCTTTTGTTCAATTAAAACTTTCCTGATCTGCAATCTTAATATTGAAACTACTATCTCTACGTCTCGTGTCCCAAAATTACAATATCGACCAACGGAAAACTGCGAATATTTGACAAACAAGAATCCCATTTTATGAGCAAGGACGGTTCTACTGATCCATTTAAAAATATTAGGATTTTTTTTTTCGTGCTGGTAAATATTTGAAAATGTTCATAAGTGTGAAAAAACTGTTGGTAATACCGATCACCTAATTTCTTTTGTAATTTCTTGATAACTTTCTGACATTTTTATTAAATTGCTAACTTTTTTGGATAATTTACAAGCTTTTCATCTCTTACCAATTTTTATTTGTTTTTCTTATCTACTCCTTATATTTATCAACTCTTATATTATTTTACTCATCTTTGTATATGTGACATACTAATCATTGAGTTATTTACCACCGCTCATTTGATTTTTTTCTAGATTCATCAACTATTTTTTTGTCATTTATCAACTTCCTAATTTACCAACTCTTATACGAATTTATCAATCTTTATTTGTGTGACTTACTAGCATTTCTCTTATTAGACTACCAACAAACTTCGTTTTACTAGCTTTCATTTGAGTTGCTCACAATTGTGTAATTATCAACTTTCTTATTGAATTACCAGCTTCTATTTTTTTCCTACCAACATGTTAAACAAACAACTCTTTTAAGAAATATCAACCTTAGAGTGGTAACCAATTTTCCTCTAATCAAATTATAAACTCGTTTTGGGCTAACAACTCTTATTTGAGTTAGTTATCAACATTTATTTATTTTTAATTACCCGCTACTCTTATTTCTAAAAGAACATATCTTATCTTTTAATATGGTAGTCCAGTAAAAGCCGACTATCTAGGTATAATAGCAACGGGGTGACGTGGACTTAATTGCAACAAGACCACGTTGTTTTTGCTTAGATAAACAGTGTTGTCTCTTGGCTTTGCATAATAGCCTGAAATTAGTTCCAAAATCTCCAAATCAATCCTTCGTGCTTGAACCCTAATTCCCCAAAGAAACCCCAATCCTTGTCTTGGCGACATCTAAATCCATGAAGAGATCGACAAATTCTTCGCAATAAATGACGGCCGTCCCTCAATCAACAATGATACATCTGTATTTTACTACTGTGGCATGAAATCTCCTCTAAAAACAGCAAGTACGCAGGAGAATCGGGAAAGAAAATATGACAGCTGTCGAAGAAATAAATGTGGCGCAAGTTGCTTGTTTAATAGTTGGGTTGACGTGGAAATCAATCAATCGCCATAGAGTATGTTACAAAGGGTTTCGAAGGAGCAACGACAAAGAAGAAACTGTGTCCACCCATCACGAGGATAATGGTAGTTCCATGGAAATTAAAGTGGGAGCTCTCACGGCACAACTAAGGGTGCTGTTTCGTCGCAAAAATTTTCTTTACGATGAAATATAATTCATCGAAAGTCGTTCTTCGGCTTTTAATGAGAGGAGGCTGAATTCTAGATCTAATTCCGGACAGGAGCAATCTAGGCGTAAATAAGGAACTTGATTTTCACAGAAGATTTAGACAAATCCATCCAATTGCTGGTGGCGTCCAAACTTTACAAAGATCTGAGCAACTACAGCTAAAGAAATTGAAAGTGCGAAACTGATGAATAAAGACTATAACTATGAAAGCTGAAAGTGCGAAACTGGGAAGTAAAGATAAAAGACAACATTTGTTTTGTTCATGTGTGCCGGGGGATCCTCTGTTGATAATTGGATGCTATTTATAGTGCAGACCTGGTAACCGTTCTTGGTGTTTTATCTAGTCTCTACCGTTGATTTCATCTTTACATGAACTTATTCATCAACTGTTATCGATCTTATTTTCTGTATGAAATGATAATTGCTTTTGAGCCCATTTAGTCTCTGAAAACGACAACCGTCATCGAGCCCATTGGTTCTCTAAGGCAACAACCGTCATCGAACTTTTCTCCGCTTAACACTTGTCATGAGATGATAACCATCATCGAACCTCTCTTCCGCTTGACATCTATCTCTTAGGATGATAACCGTCATCAAGCTTTTCCTTCGCTTGACACCTATCTTTCGGGATGACAACTGTCATCGAACCTTTCCTCCGTTTGACATCTGTCTTTCGGGATGATAACCATCATCGAACCTTTCCTCTGTTTGACACCTGTCTCTCGGGATGATAATCGTCATCGAACCTTTCCTCCATTTGACACCTGTCTTTCGGGATGATAACCGTCATCGAACCTTTTCTCCGTTTGACACATGTCTTTCGGGATGATAACCGTGATCGAGTCTTTCCTCCGCTTAACACCTGTCCATTGGAAATGAGGACCTTCGTCGAGGCTTTCTGACTTAACATCCATCACCCTTTTCATCGATTTAATCGATGAGAAGCACTTTTAGCACTTGGACATCTGTCTTTTCTGGAGCAAAGGCTCTCATCGAATCTTTTATAGCTTTTCTCCGTCTGGCACTTATTTAACAGAGATAAGGACCTTCATCGAGCTTTTCTGACTTAACATCCATCACCATTTTCATCGATTTCATCGATGAGAAGCACTTTTAGCACTTGGACATCTGTCTTTTCTGGAGCAAAGGCTTCCATCGAATCTTTTATAGCTCTTCTCCGTCTTCTCCTTTGTTGATATCTTTGACGAAAATACCTTCAGTATTTTTCATCCCCCTCTATCTGAATTTCAAATTTCCCGCTTATGACTGTCCGTACCTACCAGCTGCCATTTTAGTATGGGTGATGTCATCTCTTGTCCTTTTATACATATATCCTCACGATGAAATCTCTAATTAATTTCGGGTGTCAACAAGTGCGTTTGACAACTTACCAAATAGTAACTAATTCTGTTCTTTTGTTTCCAGAATCACTTTTAAAATAGAAATCCATTTGTTAAATTTTTTGTGCCCGGGCAGAATTTTGCAAAAAATTGTGTTCAGAATCAGTTTTGGAACAGAATCAAGAAGTAAAAAAAAGTAGCTTATTGATTTTGGAACAATTTTTCCAGAACTGATTCTTCTTGATTTTCTTCTTTTATTTTTATTTGTTGTTGTTCTTCGGCCCCGCCGGCCACAGGCTAGGGCCGGTGAGGGCATCATGACCGGCGAGGGTCCCCCTTGCCGCTTGGGCAACGGCGGCTCGCAACTGCGATGGCGAGGCCAACCTCGCCGTCGCCATCCAAGTCCGTCACCTGGGTGGTGACGGCGAGGCTGGCCTCGCCTTTCCTGGGCGAGGCCTCGCCGTCGCCAACCCTTGCGACGGCGAGGTCGGCCTTGCCAGATCTAGGCGAGGTCGAGCCTCGCCCAGCCAAGGCGAGGCCGGCCTCGTCGTCGCCACTCAGGCGATGGACCTGGGTGGCGACACTGAGGTCGGCCTCGTCGTCGCCTGGGTTGGCGAGGCCGACCTCGCCGTCGCTTGGGTTGGCGACGGCGAGATTGGCCTCGCCAAATCTCGGCGAGGTCGAGCCTCGCCCAGCCAAGGCGAGGCCGACCTTGCCATCACAACCGGCGAGGGCAACGGCAAGGGCCGCGACACCCTCGTCGGCCCTAGCCTGTGGCTGGTCACCGGCGCCAGCAGCCGGCCATGGCCAGTGAAGGGAGGGGAAAAAAAGAAAAAAAAAAAAGGAAAAAAAAAGAAAGATATTAAAAAATTCAAAATATTTTAATAAAAAGAAATTTTGTGTAGTTACTAAACACATTTCTGTTTTTTTCTATTTTAAGAACAAAAATTTTGGGCAGTTACTAAATGTCTTCAAATGCTTAGAAATTTCCGGGCACGGAATCAAAAAGAATTATTTTTGCCCAGAATCTATTTTTCGGCACAGAATGATTGTCATATATAGCCTAAAACATGTGAAACAATATGGCACAAAGTTTAAGATATAAATTCCACAAAGCGTGAACGAACGATTAATCATCACGATACACCAAATCTTGAGTCTTGTTGGACATAAAGAGTGAGGAAAGAAAAAGAAAGTGAAGTTTATCGAGACAATAATATACCTCTTAAAATAGGCCTAGCAAGATTATTTCGACACCTTGCAGCTATTTCTTGATGGGCCCTCAAATATGAGTAGCTCACTTAGCTCCAATGTATGGCTATGGTCGCTTCACGTAAACCAGACAACGAAAGCCACAGCAATTTGATTGGACCCACCGTTGCCGGTAGTCCCGATAGAAGGCAATCAATGTACCGACCAAGTAGTCATGTCACCAATTAATGGACAATTAAATGCCAACCTGCTGTCCCAATCGTCCTGAAAAAATTACATAAATAATCTTTAAATTTTAAATTAATATATAATATAAATTTTAAAATTTTAATTTATTTAATGTGGCCTCTGAACTGAAGCTCAAAATGTAATATGATCCTTGAACTTTCAATTTCTTTAATGTGATACTTAAACTTTTGATACATGTTCAATTTGGTCCCTCAACTATATCAAAATGTTCAATATCATCCTTCCATTTATTCATATAATTGAGGGACTAAGTTGAACATGTACCAAAAGTTAATGGGCCACATTGAACAAATTAAAAGTTCGGGGAACACATTGCACATTGTGTTAAAGTTTAGAAACCACCTTGAAGAAATTAAGAGTTCAGTGACTACATTGCACATCGAGCCAAAGTTTATAGACCATTTGTGTCATTACCCATCATGAAATTCCACGAGCGATCAATTTCTTTTCTTGAGATTGATTAAGGTACAATCCCGAAAGGCCTTTCATTGGGGGATCCATGGTGCTTCGTTACCATGCTAGTTTAATCCTTGCCATACAATTAAGGATCTTTCATTCCTGGAGCGGCTGAAGATTCAAAATGCACAACCC